CGTAGACAATTGTCTATACATTTTTTTTTTAATTTGTATGGGCCGTGGATAATTGTCAACAACCCTGTCAACGTAGATTATGGACAGCCCTTAAATGAACGAATACGAAATGAAAATCTAGTTGAAAAATCTGTTCACAATCACTTATGGGGATGATCTGTCCATTTCAAAAAATTAAAATCCTACCAAAATGCTCGACCGAACAGTAGTCAAACCATTTCTTAATTTTCTCGGTATGGGACTAGTTATTCAATATTTAATAATATGATTTTATGCAAGGTTGTAATTGCTCATGTGGCATTAAACATGTTTTTCGGAACGTTTTACTTGTAAGTTTTAAGAGGAGGTTACAAGGTATGGGTTTTGTGTATGTATGTAAGATAGACACCATCACTTGTCTTGTATGTGGCTACACTACCGGAGTTACCGACCTGAATTTACACTAACGCTGTTTGAAAAACGCCGGCATAAACCGAACGAAACAAAATATTTTTTCCTTAAAATAGAACAGGAAATATACTCTATTGGTTTCATTACTAAGTGATTCGAAATTTGGATTTATTGCTGAAAAAGAATTTATTTGCTTGATAGGTCGAGTTAAAAAGGCTAGGCTTAGTTTACACCTCGTAACCCTATATGACAAAATAGGTATATGAAAGAATAAAATAAAAATTAAATAATAGAAGAGATTGGCTTGATAAATAAAAAAAAAAATAAATAAAAATCTCTCTGATTAAATCTATCTTATGTTAAATTTTTTATGAGATAAACTAGCCAACGAGCTAAAAATGCTTGAAAAAAAACAAACATTTTTTTTTATTCTTTTCCAAATTCATTTTGATGCAGACCACTATGGTAAAAACTAGCATACTTACCCTGCATAAGAAGCAATAGTACGAAGCATACTCAACATGTGTGATTTGTGCTATTTGATGGACTTCCCATGCGTGACTATAATCGAAGACATCATATCAAGAAGACTGACAACTTTGCCAGAATCCAAGCGACAGATATAATAGCGCTGCACTCGAGTGAAGGTGGAAGCAACGCATAGAAAAATGAGCAAATACACAAACCCTTCTTCTGAGGATGTAATCTTTGCTATCAAATTCGTTCGAAGCAGTTACCTTTGAGCGACAGATGACGCGATTGTATCTGTCTCATAGCGTTCGTATGAGAAAATGGTAGAGTTGCCATTCTTCTTGATTTGTTGTCTTCGCTATAATGCTCATGTAATTTGATGAGTCACATGGTCCGTTTCAATAAATAAATAAATAAATAAATAAAACTAACTCAAAAAACAGTATTGCAAGCAGGGTTGCGGCCATTAGTTTGATATAAAATCTAGTTTTTTTTTCAGAATTGTTAAATCATTTTATGTTATGATGGTGTTTGTAGTTTTAAGTTATAATAAGAGGTTGTAATTTATGTGTTTGACACATAAAATCATTGAATTTTGCTTTTAGAGCTTCATAATCAGCAATTTTATGATCGGTGAATATTCACTCTTCAATATTCATTGATCCTATAACTCTCTGATAGTAAAATTGACAGGTTGCATGTGTCGAACACATATTTTACGATATTTTCTTGTATCTTGTGAGTGCAAAATATTATAACATCTAATGAATTTTTATTTCTTAAAAATATTTTTTATAGTAAACGAATGGCCGCAAGCCTGATTGCTAGCTTATAGTGGTGCGTCACGCAGTTAGATCCATCACATCCATCTCAGGCGTAACTCTTGTTATCGGTTATGGGATTGATTTTTGATCTTTGCTCAGATTAGAAACAAGAGACCGCTTTTTTTTTTTGACGGTCTTTATATATACTTCGAAGAGTCGCTATTCATACCCTTCGAAGACTTAGAGCACCCTCCAAAGACGCATCCCTTTGTCAGTGTATCCAAACATTTTTTTTAAGCATCTTAAACCGTCCTCACCGTGTCCATTTTGATTAATGATTTTTTTATTTGAATGTCATTAACACTTAGCTTACTCGGTTAAGTCACAGCTATAAAACAAGACCATGCTGAAGGTGATTGGGTTCGATTATCAGTCCTGTTTATGAATTTTTCGGGTTGGAAAAATTGTGGAAATGCTCGAAGAACACAAAGTTGAGAACTGGTGTAAAGTCCCAGAGGGTATGTAACACAGACAAAAACACAAGTGGTGATAAATATTTCGTTGAGTAGATATGATTTAATGATGTGGTATGATATGATAATGATTGATCATGAATTTACAGAATGTAAACCCATTTCCTGGATAATCAGAAACCTACTGTTAGGTAGAATTAGCTCTATTCATGTGTCCACTGCCACCATAAACATACAAACAAACGGTTCTACGGTGACCATATGGTTCCATGGTTGTCGTTTTGAGTGCCATTGGTCATATTTCATCGAGTAGATGTGTCACGATATGGTGATGATAGATAATAAATTTGACCATATGGAACTATAACCGGAACATCCGGAATAGATTCCAAGGTTGACATGGGTTCATATGATTGTTCTCTACTATTTTCTCGAGTTACAAGAAAAATATCAATCAGTGGCGCTGGTGGTGTAGTGGTAAGTGTGATTACCTCTCACTCCAGCTGGCCTGGGTTCAATCCCAGTCGGGATTGATTTTTCTCCTTTAGTTTACTTAAATATTTGGTTTTTATTAGTTGATTGATTAAATAAAGACAAATCAATCAATCAATTAGTTAGGTAGGTTCCGATTCAACACATTGCAGTTTCATTTTTATACCTCTGATCTTGACTTTTTTACCTATGGGATGAGTACTTAAGGGGGTTAGATTTTGATAAGTTCTTTAGTGGGAATCCCTCCCCTTGGCTAGTTTTTGCACCTTGATGCTGGTGGGCGGGCTTAATTTCATGCTTTTTAGTGGAGTGTTGGAGACGGTGGGTTTATGGTCGGCGTTGCTGGCTCATGCCGCGATAGAATAACGTCATGAGCAGACAATGGGGATTACTAAGCTTCCCCTCTCTGATAAACCACTGCATGAGAGAACCAAAGATCTAGTCTAGCAGTGATAGTATCACACTTGTTACTCCTTCGATTGAGAGCCGCGTCGTAGTACGCTTACGTATAGGAACTGACGTTGGGTGTGATACTGGCGGGTTTTGCCGCAAATCACTCTTAATTTATTTATTTTTACGCAGATAGATTTATTTGGGTTTGCAAGGGAATTATACTATTGAAATATTTCAGAAAGTGCCCATCGGTGCTCCTTCTATTTGCGTGACAAGCTTTCATTGTTGTTTTCATTGAGGTATTACTCAGGGAACAATGTTAAACGCCATTTTTGTACATGGTATTGTAACTAATCTTATATGTGCTTCATTTTGATTTGGGATAAGTGTTTGAACTATAGCTCGGGATTTTCACTGTGGCGTGCTTCTATTGTGACATACCCATACGTATTTTTGTGGTGCAACATAGTGGAAGCGTGTGAGCATAGTTGGAGCATATACCCTATATAATTTAAAAATCAGCTAGGAAACTAACTTCAAAGTGAAGCATTTTAGTCACTTGAAGGTGTCACCTGGGACGAACAAAGATATAATTAATATATGTCAAAGACAGAAGTACTTGAAACACGTTAAATTTTAAGTTTAAAAGCATGGGTTATCATTGTGTAGGTAGATTAGAGATTTCAGTTATTTATTAAATAAACTTCAATTAGAGAATTCAGAAAGTTAATTAACATAAGAGATAGGATAAGTCGGCGCCGGTTGTGTAGTGGTAAGCGTGACTGGTTTCTAACACCCCAATGGGTCTGGGTTCAATCCCCAGCCGAGGTCGGTGGGATTTTTCTGAGGAATAAAAATCTCTGGTCACGTCTTCCTTCGAAAGGGAAGTAAAGCCGTTGGTCCCGGCCCATGTGTGTTGAATGGGTGCGATATCCTACGCAGGTGTGGAAGCTGCCTTCCTGCACATTCGGTTGCCGTCAATGGATGGCAATCGATGTCCGTCGGTGATTGGCACTAGATTGCGGAACAGAGACCGACGTTAAATAAAGGAAAAAAAAAAAGAGATAGGACGCGGGGGGTCCGCTTAGATAGGCGACTAGCCTTTGAAGTTGTATAATAAATCTTCCTATTTAGTGTATTTGTAAATTACAGACAATGTCAATAGCGAAAGTCATATCTTCAACCAGGCGCTTACGAACAAGTGAAGTTTTAGGAAAGATGTGTTAAATATGTTGATAGGTTTGAAATAAGAATTAGGATTGTTGTGCTTTAGGTAAGGTATGATGTGTCAACAAAACCCTTTTGAGCAAATTTTCAGACATCAAAGTGATTGAGTGATTTATTGAAAGACATTGCGTTGCGAAAATTGTTAAGTCATACCATCTAACATAGAAGTAGTAGCAGTGTCGCATAATCTTATCACAATTGCTGCAAATAGTGTTGGAGGGGCCGGCAGGACTGAATACGGATCAAAACTAACATAACTACTAACACTAAAATGATCCCGGAACTAACACTTATCCATTGCACTAGTTATATGTTAGTTTTATTTTCCTACTAAGTTATCTATGCTTCTTTCTAGTGTTTCGATCAAGTACAACTAATACTAATCTACCTTTATGTATGTTTTACTCCCTTTTAACCCATTATCTTTATGAATGGCGAATCATATGACGTGAGACACGTACAACCTGGAACTCAAAGAATTACTTCGAACAGGATATCAAACAAATTCAGGACCAATCCAAATGAGACCAGAAACCAACAAGGCATCGGGGCGTTATATACTCGGAGAGGTATTTGATAAATAATCAAAAAGTGGTAAGTTAAAATCATAGTGGAGCCAAGGATCATGAGAGGTAATTGTCTAGAATTCATTAATTAGTAGAAATCTCGATAACTTTTTCAAGGGAGCGTATCGGCTTTGTAGGCGGTGCGTTTGGTCGTCGATTTGGCGTAGCTGGTGGCTCGCCCACGCATGCTAGCACTATCATCAGAAAGGGAAATTTTCCTCTACCTGGTAGTGGTGTTGGTAGGCGTGTGCGGGCTGCCGGTTGCGCCGGATCGACGATCGGATGCATTGTTTGCAGGAGCTGGTGCTTCCCTTTGAAAAAGTAATCGAAAAACAACCATTTTATCCTGTAATTGATATTACTATTTTTATATATAAATGAAATTAGTCATGACAGAGTAGGAAGTACAATAGACACAAGTTGACACAATAAACAAGACAAGTGGGGGTTAATACACAAGACAAAATGACAAAATAAGTGACGATAGAAGACAAGACTGGGACAAAAATTAACCTTAAAAAAAATGCGCAATTATATTACCAAAACTATTTGGATCAGCACAAAAACAACAGTGACCAAACGGGCACCATAGCCTAGGAACGTCTGTGTGTTGATTTAAAGTAGAGGCTCATAGAAGCAAAATTTATCAATAAAAGGGGTCCAGTGTAGAGTTTAAGCAAGTGCTGCCACTGGATCACTACAAAAAAAAAAAAAGATAAGTTCTTTAGTGGGAATGACACTGATGAAGACTGCACATTGTAGTCGAAATACGTATCGGTCATGGATACCAAAATTAATTAAGTGGAATTAAATGGACGATAACCTTTAATACTGTTTTATTTAAGCATTCCGCTAACAACCCAATTTCACTGTTTACGTATTTAATGAACAGCCCCTAAGTAAGATATATTATAAAGATTGAAAAAAACAACCTCTGTGCCAACACATCTTTTTAATAAATAACAAAGAGGGAGGGGCCTGAAGGAGTGTACCACCCAACAGATGTAAAAACCACTCACCGGAATGATGTTAGAAAAATTTCAATTCAATCGGCCATAGCATTTCAAAGATAAAAAATTTGAAAATAAAAAGTGTGTCCCGGGTTTTTTACGGGTTAAAGGGGTAAAAACAATTTAAAATATAATTCACTCAATGCATCGAAATATATATATACCCATAAATGCTGCACAATCTGACGCAAATGTCATCATAACATTACCTTCAGTCTAGATGAAACTTTGTGGGTACTTACCTGAAAAAAATCTGCTCAGAATTTCGAGAAACCACGGGGGATCAAGTGTGTCCAGTCTCCCCTACATTAAATTCCAGGGCCCAGTACAGTTTCACATTGCATTACCAGCTTAGTGGAGGCAATTCTTTAGGAAATTTCTTAGATGACACCAGAAATAATTATTGGGAGCCGTGATATTTTAACACCGCACTTTGATTGTATAACAAAACCGGAATGGTTACTCTTTTTTTTATTATCGTTCAATTCCTACACTGTTAGCATCAATAGGTCATCAACCCATAATTAACCGAATGTTTATCACTTTTTCGTTTATTTACAGGTAAGAGAAGCAATTAAGAAGGCTTATTTAGTGGAACTTGAGTGGACTTGAAACTATGCTTGAAAACATCAATTACAAATATGCTACTAGCGAGGTAAGCTACCTTTTGTACGGTGGGATAATGTTGGTTTGATATTTTAGTTGTGCTTGTACTTTAGACTTTTTTGGGTGTTCCCCATTGTTCTTTGATAATGTCTGATAGTTTTTCGCCGATCATGTATGCTATTGCAACAGGATGGCCACTGAAGGTAACTGGAACAACACCGACATCTGCCACGCGTAGGCTGGAAATACCATGCACTTGAAGCTCTGGGGAAACGACTGCTTCTGGATCCGACGATGATCCCATTTTAGTCGTCGCTGTCTGGTGGTACATTGAGGTGCTAACCGATCGGATCGCACATCGCCAGTAATCATCAGTGCCGTACTCCAATCGGCCACAGGTTGGCAAGGGAACGTTGTGTAGCTTAACGCCACATCGTTTCATTGCCGGGGTATTTACTATTCGGAGCACTTGTTTTATGCCTCTCAAAAGTGTTTCTACGTCGTCGTCCTCTTTCAAGAAGTTGGTGTAAAATTTTGGCCATTGGAATGGGCTACTATTTTTCAGCTCCATGTATCCTCTCGACTTGGGATGCAATAATACCAGGTTAATACTAAATGCATCCATGTCGCCGGACTCCAGCGAACGATATGTTTCATACACGTCATCTCTAAGACGAAAACCTCTTCTTACTGCACTTCCATGATCGGATGCTGGAGAACCGTTTACAAAGAACAGTTCAATGTCTGGAACGGCGTCGCTGCTTGAATTGCGAGTATTGATAAACCCAACCACTTCTACTCCTCCCGGTATTGTTAATGTACCGTCACCTTGTAAATATTTTGCCAGCATCTTCAAAGTGAGAACTCGATTTGCATTCAGTGTGAAATGTTGCGTTCCTGTCACGAACGTCAAGCCAGTGAAATAAATGTGATCGTAAAGTATTTTTCCCACTGGTAGGTCCTGGACAACCGGTATACCGACATTGTGGAGGTGATCTTTCGGTCCGATTCCGGAAAGCATTAACAGTTGAGGCGATTGCAGCCCCCCTGCGCTAAGCAGTACTTCCTTTTTCGCTAATACGGCATATCGCTTTTTGCCACGAACAAATTCAACGCCATAAGCCATTTTCGTTTTGGGTTCAATGAGGATTTTTGTCACTCTAGAGTTGGTAAGAACCTTAAGATTCGGTCGATCCATTACCGGATCTAGAAATGCTGTACCTGCTGACAGTCGCTGCCCATTCCTGAGATTAGCGTGAAGAAACGACACTCCGAGTTGATTTTCTCCATCATAGTCTACATGAGGTAATCCCAATTCTTGAAGACCGTTGAAAAAAATATGAGACATTTTGGTTTGGTGTGGTGCAAATCGCACATCTAGTGGCCCATCCAATCCATGATATTCGTTGGATATGTCCAAGAAGGATTTTTCAGATTTTTTGAAATACGGAAGAACATCCTTATATGACCAACCGGGGTTCCCTTTGGCGGCCCAGGTATCAAAATCATGTCGATTTCCTCGGACATACATCATGTAGTTGATGAGAGTCGATCCTCCGACTCCTTTTCCTCGCGGTAATGCGCAGCGTTGGTCTATCATTCCTGATGGATGAATAAAACAATAGTTAGAAATCAGGTAAATTTGTGGGTGAGATTATTGCAATATTGTGGTGAACATTCATATAGCCCCATGGAATGTCTAGATCAATCTTAAGGGGAAGCTTAATGCCCGAAAAAAGAATAAAATATGATTTGATTTTTACAAGAATCACTGATTCTGGTTGCTCGCGAAGGTGTTGTTTGAGTAGCTTCTTTAATAATTTCTGTCGTATCCTTTTGCTTTGCTTCTCGAAGCTTTATTTGCGTTGCAAATTCCAGCTGATTCTGTTGGTAGAGATTTCTAATACAAGCTGATTATTTCCCTTTCGTTGCATTGCAATCTTCGAAAGAAACTGCTCTTCGACCAATACTTACATCTTTCGGAGCTGATAAAACATTTGAAAGGTTTTTTGAAGTATTCGGAGCAACGTCAAAAAACCCTCTGCTTTGAGCGGCCATGTGCATTCAATTTTTATTTTTTAAGTAGATACAAAGATTTCCAGCATGTTTTATTATTATTTTAATTTTAGAAGCAACAACCATAGAGACATTGGAATTGATTGCGTACGCTTCGATAACGTGCTTGTGAACATTTTGAAATTTCACCGTTGGCATGCCCTTCAATTCAAAGCGAGATGAGACCAAGTTTATCAAATTCTATGGTAAAGAACAAGAGGCAACCAAAACATTATTATTAGCATATACAATTAAAAAAGGAAATCACTTGTTTGCATTCCGGTTTTTGAAATAATCACATACGCATACCTGAAGTTGATGATTCCGCCATTTTTTAACGGTTTGCAGCAGTTCACCTCTTCCGTTTCTACTCTTATAGAATTTGACAGCTTACTATCAATAAAACGCATAAATTTGTTTACTCATGATAAAGTTAAATTTAATACTCCTTCAAATGATTGTTTTGAGTGTAACTTTTTTCGTAGATTTTCAATATATTTAACATATTGTACAAAGTTGTTTGCCTTACAAAAATAAATATGTTTGCTGAACATTGTAACATGCTATCTCTTGAAATTAAAATATGTATTCAAAAATTAGACATTTGACGGATTTCACGCCAACTCATCCAGTGGTTGGCAGCACCCTCTCAGAACCTTATGGAACTTTGTGGGTGTGGAGACTTAGCAATTTTAAGCAACTTTGCGTACTTATTTTTTTCAAAATTTATCTCGCCTAACATTTGATAAGGGTCAAAGTTTTTTGTCGATTTTTTTTTTCAAATCGATATAGCTTAAAAATGACAAGCCCTACAAAATAGTGATGTATGGCGAACTTTTAGCAAATAATCTGAAATTTTATAAAAAAATTTAAATAAAATAAAAAAATCGGTTTCTACACTCTAAAAAAATATATTTAAAAATTAAAAGTCATTTTCCCAAAAATGGTACCCCTCAGATTTGCTTGATATTTTTTCTCATGAAAGGCAATATAATTACCTAACTTTTCTTCATACATCGCAAAGTGGGCGCTTTTAAGGAAAAAAAGTTGTTCGAACAACAACTTTTTCATGTTAATTTTTTTTTAGCGTGTTTCACTCAAAGTCGAATAGTAATACGCGCACAACCTTATTAAAATAAACTTTATGGGTATACTTTTCGATAATCTGGGCGAAATCTAGCCTAACATTTGAAAAGGGTACAGAGAAGTTACCTGCAAATCGTCCAATAAGAGTTCAGAACAAAACGTTCTAATGAGGAACAGCCATCTCAGCATGGTTTGCACTTTCCTGTGATGGATTGTATTATAATATATGCATACACTCTATCCAACTTCTATAAAACCACCCTCAAATTGTTCCAAATCAACAGGTAAACTAAGTAAAAATCACTTAGTATGTTTTATTCATGAAAAGATTTCAATTCATGTATTTGTGATTAATTTAATTAGAAAAATAATCATTCATTTATTTTTATGTATTAGGTGTGTCCATTAGTAAGCAATATGCATATATGTTTATACCTCATCTCTCAAGTGAATACATATAATAGCGCAGGTAACTTAACGATTATTTAAGGCATGCCTAAAATAATCGTTAAGTTACCTGCTATATAGCAGTTATATAACAACGCAGGTAGTCACATGAGAGATATAAGGTATAAACTTAAAGCACCGCAGTCTGTTTCTACCGACATAATCTAATATTTAAGTTTGGTGATATCACAACAATGCTCATAGTTGCTGTAGTGCATAGTTGTTGAAAGTGTAGTGCTGCATAGTTGTTGAAATTTATATCAAAATTGTTAGATTTCATTAAACAATCTATTAGTTTCACAAAAATTACTTTCATGTCAGATGGAGCAGCGGCTCATTACAAAAATAAAAAGAATTTTGCCAGTTTGTGCAACTTCAAGTCCAAGTATGGATTGGAAGCAGAATGGCACTTCTTCGCAACGTCTCATGGGAAAGGCCCATGTGACGCAATTGGAGGAACTCTCAAACGAATGGCAAAGAGAGCAAGTCTTGCTCGAGATTATGGAAACACAATCACAACTCCACAAGAACTGTATGACTGGGCAGTTAAACAAACAGATACAAGCATAACAAAATTGAACTTCTGCTTCATATCAAATGATCAATACACAAAGATGTCCGATGAACTCAAGGAGCTGTTCAGTCATGTAAAAACTATACCTGGTACACAAAAATTTCATTGTTTTGTACCTATTTCTCAAAACATAATTTCTACTAAGCGATTTTCACATTCAAAGGAAACTCCGAAAAATTTCACTCTGTTTCCGATAGACTAATAATTAATGAAAAACTCAAATTATGTATGGAGAATTATAGGAAAATAAATTATGCACTAAACAAAAACACTAGAGTTTTCATTTATTAAAACACCATTCGAAATGCAGGAAAATCCTCTGTATTAGGCCCTTTCAAATGTTAGGCTAGATTTTAGTTTTAAGCACGCCCAGATTATCAAAAGGTCAAAATCTTTATGCTCATTAAGTTTCAACGGATTTTAATAAGGTTGTGCGCGTATTACTATTCGACTTTGAGTGAAACACGCTAAAAAAAAATTAACATGAAAAAGTTGTTGTTCGAACAACTTTTTTTCCTTAAAAGCGCCCACTTTGCGATGTATGAAGAAAAGTTAGGTAATTATATTGCCTTTCATGAGAAAAAATATCAAGCAAATCTGAGGGGTACCATTTTTGGGAAAATGACTTTTAATTTTTAAATATATTTTTTTAGAGTGTAGAAACCAATTTTTTAATTTATTTAAATTTTTTTATAAAATTTCAGATTATTTGCTAAAAGTTCGCCATACATCACTATTTTGTAGGGCTTGTCATTTTTAAGCTATATTGATTTGAAAAAAAAATCGACAAAAAACTTTGACCCTTATCAAATGTTAGGCGAGATAAATTTTGAAAAAAATAAGTACTCAAAGTTGCTTAAAATTGCTAACTCTCCACACCCACAAAGTTTCATAAGGTTCTGAGAGGGTGCTGCCAACTCCGAAGACGAGTTGGCGTGAAATCCGTCATTTGCAGGAGTTTTTTTTACTTATTAAAAAACACCTAAAAGATCGCCTGCTGCCACACGTTTTTATAACTTTTCGGTAGTAAAATAAGTAAAGATTCAGAATCCTTTCTAGAATTTTGCGCCAATTTGCGCCGGAAATAGTTATTTGAGGAGCAAATACCCCTAAAAATATCGATTATTTAAGAATAACTTTTTTGTTTCAATAGCTAATTAGTTACAATGCTCAGCAAAAGCATGTGTTTAAACATGCAAAATATAGTTGTAGAAGAAACCAAAATTGTAGGATGCCTAGAAAATCAGTTATACTAAAAAACATGATTTAAAGGGCCTTTCACGAAAAATGATACATATCTCGCAATTTATAATAGCTAGTAATGTTGAGTGTTCAGCAAAGTTGCTTAAATAATATTTGCTACAACTTTATTGAAGACATTAAGTCTCTATCTGAATCAGATAAAAAAATATATTTTTGATCTCACTTTTAGGTGGATTAATGGTTTGGTGATTAATCAAAAGAAGCAGATTAACATATGCAAAAACATCTTTGAACAAACTATACCCCTAAAATCAATGTTTGAGAAGCTATTAAAAAAGCGCACGAAAACGGCAAAAAGCAACACTGTGATATCGAGTAATCTAGAAGAAGTGTATTTTTCAACCGATTCGAGTATGAACATGTCATTAAAAATGGTTTTGAAAGTTGGTGCATAGGTAAAAAGTGAGGTTACGGTTCACCACTGCTTCGAATTAAGGTGGAGTTTTCTCCAGAAAGCTAGAAAAAACCAAAAAAATCTCGTTATTTTGTCATCAGAAAATGTGATTTTCAGTGATGGGAAAAGTGGTTTCCCTAACACAGTCGCCAAATATTGATACCGAGAACTTAATCCTACGTAAAATCTACGGTCGTGTCTTGGATACAATCTCTTATTTTTTCGTTTTCGTTTGGCGGTGCTAGATTTGACAGGCGTTATCGAAATTATGCGTTAAACACGTCACATGAAAGATGAAAAACTCGAGTTCATTATAGAGCTTCGAAAATGCTACTGGTCATGAGTTCTATATTAAATCCTAAACAATTGCAGGTCCTTGCTGATATAGTCCCTGATCGTATTGAAAACCCTCCAAATCTCCTGAAATCTCTAAAATCTCTAAGAACTTCCACGACGTTCTTATTGGTAGTCTACGAATACCACGCGTCCGGAGCTCAATGGAAACCTCCGCAGCACTTTGCGACTTAAAATCTTAGACGATTATAAAAAACTACTAGGGGAAGTGTTCCAGTTGTGGCACTAGTGAAAATAACATTAGACTACTGAAAACTAGATGAAAATTTAAGAGAGAGAGAGAGAGAGAGAGAGAGAGGACCATTAGTGCCATAACTGGTACACTATATCTGTAAGTCTCCTAACCACTGAAAACGTTCACAAGCTCCTCGGCTTCTTTTTCCAGAATCTCCCTGATTGTTTCAGAAGTTCTCGGATGAAGTCAAAATGATTTTGGTGACTTCTTAGTAAACTTTAGATATGTCTAGCGAATTTTAGAGACATTTCCTGAATTTGAAACAGGATTAGTCGATCTCAGAGGTATTTAACAAAATCTAAAGAAGAGTAGGGAATCTCAGAGAACCTTAAGGAAGCTCAAGAAAACTTCAGAGATAAGTTCAGATGAATATAAGAGAAGTTCAAATAAACCTAAGACAAATTCAGGGTTCGTAAAATAAATTTTATAAAAGAAAAAAAAGTTCTGGGATCTTAGAGATCTTTGGAAACTATTGATGAAACCAGGGAGCTTCGGAAAACTTCCTCAAGGATGTTTGAGAAAATAAAATAAAAAACAAAAGACAAAGCTAATTCTGGATCATAAAATTTGTCAATTGCAGCGTTATTTAATTTATTCCCAGGTTCTTAAAAATGTCTCCATGTTTATATTTTTCTATTTTTTTTTGTGATGGCCCTGGCGTAGTGGTAAACATCCATACCTTTCACGCCAAAGTCACAAGTTCTAATCTCATCCTCGGACAAGTCACAAAGTAAGTCAAGAGTGAAATCCTAGTCCGAAATTTTGACTATTTGTCTGAGTTTGAGATTTGGAGATTTTTTAAGGTCCCAGAAGCTGAAATTAGTTCTCAAGCTTTAGTAGTTTAACATTATTCTCAAGACACAAAATATAAAAGACTTCGTTCGTAAGACCTGGTATCTAGAAAAAACATTCCAGGATTTTTTCGAAAACATCAACTAAAATTCAACTCTACCTAGAGGCAGAACTTAATAAAATTCTAAGATCCATCGGCACAAACCTGTCCGATACTGAAAAAATCTCCGTTTGACAAGAAAATACCCCGAAATTCAATACCTTGCTAAAAGTTTAATGATGACCGAATCTTCAGAGAAATTTAACATATTTGTAGCTGTTTTCAATCTTCCGAACTGTAGAGCCAAACTCAAATACATAACCCATCACGGTCATTTTCTTCATATTAAAAAATCATACTTAAATACAGTCAAGAAAATGTGCCTCTTGCAGCTGAACGGTTACGGACGGCTTTCAAATCATAATACCTACCCCAGCAAGAATAGTTTTGTGGCTCGGCCAAATATCCCCAGTTGTAACTCGTAGACTGCAGGTATGCAGCAATTACAGGCACCTTCACAAACAAATTCTCTCGTTCTCCGGCTTCCAAAAGCAGCACTTTCCATTCTGGATTTTCGGTTAATCTATTTGCCAGTACACAGCCCGATGGACTCGCTCCAACTATCACAAAGTCGTATTGATTTAGAATATTCTTTTCACTGTAACGATCTTTCATTTCATTAATAAAATCGCTCTTAATAGGTTCCACGTTAAGCTGCTTCTGAAATTCTAGTATGTCATCCACGAAATTCTCCGCAGAGTCACTTTCGCTCTCCACTGTTGTTGGTGGTTCTGATCCAACCACCATTAGTGTAGCCAGCACAATCACTTTACAGTACCTTAAAATCATTTTCCATTCGATTTATTATCTCCTCCGATGCGTCCGACTATTTCGAGGCCCGGATAAATACTAAATCAAAGTGTAATCGGAACCAACAAAGATTGATATAGCTCACTATTAGAAATTGTTTTCGTGATTCGATGCACGAAAAATTCGCATCGGGTGGTGGTAAGGTGGAAAGTAAAAAATGAACCGGTCAACGGTACAAGCTTTTTGTCCGTCTCCTTACACATCGAACGTAGCCATTTAATTTCATGCTATAGCTTGCAGAAGCATTAAAACAGACATTTGTCACGGTCTAAGATTTTGATGGGCCTTGCAAGTCCTTACACTTGACCACGAAAACTCGACCACATCGGCTACTATTTATGTCATAAGCAGGTTGATATCTTAACCGGCGAGTATTGTTAGATGTTGTTTGTTTTTCGTTGGAGGTATAATTTTTCGCAAATTAAATAGCGTGACCTTTCTGGTGACTGGTGATACGAAACTTGTCTATGTAGGTATTAGACATTTTATTTCGAATTTCGTCTGGCAAACGCATTTTGTGGCTAGTGCACTTTTTTGTATTGATGGACAAGAATCGCAACTGTTTTTTTTCAAAAGCATAGAAATGCATGCTGCCATGACTCACGGTAAAATGTATCGTGTTGCCGAGGTAAAATAAAAGTAAATATCACGGTAAAATGTATCGTGTTGCTATTTACCGGCCTTCAAAGACAGCATGCTGACAATTTGATTTTGTTACTTCGGTAGCCGGAAAAATTAATTAACAATCAATTAGATGACTTTCATGTTTGTTGTAGGTTAATTACTTCTTCTACTGGATGAAAAATTTGTTCTAGTTCCGGTGATCAACATGTTGATCTATACATATTAGTTAACACAATAGACGATGATACAACATGATTGCTTTACCGGGATATGCTGAGTGAAGTTTTCCTAATTTTCCTTTCGGCGTTCATTTGAGCGATGAGAACGTTGACCTCTACCATGTGTTTGTATGTCTTCGAGGTCGTGGGAAGCCATTCAAACTATTACGACAACACCGATTACCATTCTTGATATTCAACGACATGGCCTTTCGATTTGTGGAGTTGTAATCAAAGTTATCCGAATATGAATAGATTTATCTGTTTTGGGGATATAGGATTAGGCATATAGCTTCCAATTTTCAATGTCAAATAGTAATTTGTTAGAGTCTGGTTGGATTTTTTTTCCATATTTCTTGGCATCCACTAAAAATTAGAAACATTGACGATAAATCCTTCACTTATTTGTGGAATCAGTGTGCTGCAAAAAAATACAAATTCAAACGAGAGATGAAGAGTAATGTTGTGGTCGCCATTATAAAGTTTGGAAAGTGGAAGCTTTTGCTCTTTCCATATGGGCGCCACGCTTTTTACTGATGTAAATAACATTGAGCAAATCCACACCAACTGACGAATCTATCAAATCAGGCATAACATTTGATAACGGCCCAAAAGCATTTGTTAACAAACTTTCTAAGGCCCTTTACACGCGAACCAAAGTACGCTCACGCAAACCAATACCACTTTCGGAAAGGTGATAGTTGCCCCTATCCGATGATGTTGTTGTTGATGTAAAGAGAGATGATAAAACTGATTTGTACCTTCCTAAAAGTTGTCTAGCTGGCTGTCTACTTCTATATGCAATTTTCGCACTGCCGTACTCTAAACGAAACTATCAATTATATACTTTCATCTTCTCATCTACCGTATAAAAATTGCCACTTTAGTCTGTTATTTGAAATTGGCATCTTCAATTATGGGGAAAGCCTATCAAAAATGCTAACTTTTCTGATATTGAACCCAATGTATGCTATTATTTAAATTGACAAAAACAGTAACATCAACGTTTAGTAAAAAAATTCAACTTTTTTTACGCTCTAAAATTTTATAATCTCTGTTTTGTGGATGACAATTTCTCCAAAAAAACTCTTTCACACACATTACAAATTACTATAATAAAAAAAAATCTTTCTAAAACTTTGACCAACAATTTTTTTTTTCAATTTTGAAGTTTTCATTGTTTTTTTTTCAATATCTAAAAAGATAGCATTTTGAGTCGAGTGACATATTTTTGAGACTCGTTGCTCATTATTTTACATGATATATGGATCGTTCCGCGCCAAGTCTCCGAGGAACGTGAAATTGACCTCTTCCGATTTTTACCAAATTTGAAGGAGATGTTTATTTTGGTCTAACTTTCATGAATCCAAATTTTTGTGCCGATCGAAGCACCCCTCGGTGCAGAGAGCATTTTCTATTTTTCGTGATTTTCATGAAAGCACTACTTTATTTTATCAATATCTTCGTAAGAAATAAAGCTACAATTATTATGAAAAAAAGTAGAAGGGTCTGTGCCTAGGGGCACGAACGGAAGCTTGACGTAGGACCGCTAGTGGACGGAATAAATGTGAAGAGCATTTAGTTCTTTTAATTGATCAATTATCTATTATCTTAACTTTTTCCGTTTTTGAATAGCAGGCGTATCAAATTTGTAGTAATCTTTTTCAAAGAGAAAGTTGATTAAGAGAATCAATCAAAATCACTTGCACCCCTGCTTCCAAGTTTGGTTACAAGATTACAACTCTGGAGAGCATTTTGTGTGGTCGTTGGGGGCTTGTGGTTCTGAATATGGACAAACAAGCACAGATAAATTATATTCCAACTCTTTACTGATGGCTTGATGGCCCTGAAAAGGGCCGTTTTATTGAAGAGGACATCCATGTCCACTTACGCTTGGCGTGTTTAGTGTAGGTGACAGCATCACGGACCTCATTTTCCAGGAACACCTTCAGAACACCTCGTAGATCAGACCGGAGATACGTTTGACACCACCACGGCGAACCAGACGACCGATGGCGGTTATCTCGAAGAACTTTGCGATGACGCTTGGCGCCTCCTTTACCAGACCTTTTCCTCCTTTGCCACAACCAGTCAATTGTTGCTTGTTAGGTGTGAAGGAGTGGACTAGTCACCACCTTCCTACTGCTGCTATTGCTGTTCACCACGCCGTCCGAAGCGAAAATAAGTTAATGCCATACAGCAGCGCTCTTTTATATCTTTTCAGGTTAAAGCAGAATGATGTGCAACCAAGTGGTATAAAAGCTACAAAGACTCCTCCCATTATGAGTTGTTTGCTATCAAGTAGCGACACTGTGTCTTTTCCGTTTGCGTACACGGCGAATGAGAACGACCTAAATTTGAGTTTAGTTCACTCATAATCGCCAAAACTGCAGGAACTCAGCGATGAGTAATTTAATCAGGTGGGAGTAGGGAAGGAATATAAGAGTGACCTTTGTTGTTTGTGGGCCGTGTTTACCTCTGCACCCCAAAAAAAGACACAGGGAAGGAGATTTTCTTAGTAAGTTGGGTTCGTTCGATCAGGATTCACCTTGATAAGTAATGCGACCATGGTTTTAAATGAATCAGTGTTATCATGCATTATACTTGGATTTGCCTAAAGCCTAAATAAAATGGTGGATCATAGTAATATAAATCTGAAGACGTTCCATCATCGAAAAGCTGAAAATAAACTTAGAGCATGAGCACGTGCAAAATTGACCGCCCGCGACTGCCAACACCAAAAAGCTGAAAACCAATTCAAACAAATCAAATCAACATACAAACCCAGGGTGAAAGCTGTAAGAGTGAATCATTACAGTATAAATCTAATGATGTTCCGTTATCGAAGAGCTGGAAAACTTAAATAATTTAAATCAATAGATCCAGTCTCATCTCACTGCGTCCTAGCAAGAAGAACGGTCGACTTGTTTCGCGCTCCGTTAATTTGGAAGTTTTCTCGCTATTATCTGACGTAAATAATCAGTTTTTTCTCGCTTAGTGATTCCTGGCATAATTCCCGATAAATTTATCAAAAAGTGAGTTTTTTTCTGAGAAGAAAGTGTGTTTTCGGCATCATCGGAAGGAAAATTGTTTTTGCGATTGCCAATTCGCCAACCATTTTGCGCACCATCGGTGCGTGGTCACGCATACCTGTGCACACGGATCATCGTCATCGAGTGTCAGCATCTGCCTCCACATTCAAACCGCTCATCCATCTCGTGTATTCAGCTGAGTGCCGAGCTTCATACAAGCACACACCAACGAAGACCGCCCGCACACGCGGATCGAAGATCATCAAAGCTGCGCGTCGCTCCGCTGCTGCTGTGTAAACGCTCGGTGGTAGTAGTATAGGATTATCAGATAAGTTTTTGTTCTTGTTTCTTTCTCTCTCCCATCAGTTAAATTTTAAGTTTGTGTTTCTGTGTTTGTATTTTTTTCTCGTGTATTGTGTCCGAGTAATTTTGATTATCGTTGCAGTGGTAGAGCGTTTTTCGCTCCCACTAGTACGGCAAAATGGACATTTTGTCGGAAGACGAAATGGACGTTTTGTCGGAAGATGACACCACTTTGCCACGCGATAGCAAGAAGGGTCGAAAACGTCTGTCATCCCAGAAATCAGATGATGTCATCCCTGGTTCGTCATCTCAGTCTGGTAATGGGCAGGGACAGATAAGCCCCCGATCGCGAGCCTACCCAGAAGACTCGACTGGCCCATGGGTTGTTTACTTTCAGCCCAAAAAGAAACCTTTGAATGTAATGCAAATTACTAATGATCTGACGAAGCGGTTCTCGGCCGTGACCGAAATCTCGAAGGTGAGGTACAATAAACTTCGCGTTGTCGTCTCTAACCTGAAACAAGCTAACGAGATTGCTGCCTCCCAGCTCTTTACACTCGAGTATAGAGTGTACATCCCAGCTCGTAATGTGGAGATCGAAGGTGTGGTCACCGAAGCGAGTCTGACCCCCGAGATCTTGGCGAAGCAAGCGGTTGGCCGTTTCAAGAACCCCTTGCTTCCCACGGTTGAGATACTGGAAGTCCAGAAGCTGAACTCAGTATCTTTCAGCGAGGGTAAAAAGAGCTTTACCCCCACAGACTCGTTTCGAGTGACCTTTTCTGGTTCAGCCCTTCCTCAGTACATCGAGTTGGGAAAACTTCGGCTACCTGTGCGCTTGTTTGTTCCTCGGGTCATGATCTGCCAAAACTGCAAACAGTTGGGACATACGGCCTCTCACTGTGGCAGCAAGGCACGCTGTTCCAAATGCGGGGAGAAGCACGAGGATGGCGCCTGCACAGTCACGGCACCAAAATGCGTGTACTGCAAAGGATCTCCTCCTCATGGTCTCCCGTCGTGTCCGGTGTACAAACAACGCGGGGAAAAACTAGAGCGCTCTCTTAAAGAACGTTCCAGGCGGTCTTCTGCAGAAATGCTTAAGACAGCCAAGCCATCGACCAACGAAACAAATCCCTTCGCTCTTTTGTCAGATGACGAGTCTGGCTCTGACTTGGCTGAGGAGGGAGTTTCTTTCAGTTTTCCGGAAGGTTCTGCCCGGAAACGAAAACGCATCCGTTCGCGGAAAGTTGCAGATCAAGAACCCCAAATCAGCTTGCCCAGATCAAGGAGTGGTGGAAAAAA